ATTATACAATAAAATGACATATCCAACGGTTTATAAAATTGTTTATACATGACAGCACATACAGTGAAAGGGATTGCTAAAAACTCTTCTATTAAGTTCAGTGCAAACATCTTTAGATCTGATATCTAATTTTTAAAATATATATTTTCTTAAAGTGACTGATATATCCTTGAATAATACCTTTAGAAAGGAATCACAAATCCCCACTGCAGTACTCTTGTAAAATTTGCATACATACATACATACATAAAATAGAATTGGGATTACTTTATATCCAGTAACCAAAAGCTGCAAATGCCCTGATTTTACCCCAAACATAACCTCAAATGAGGTCATGTAGAATGAGAAAAATTAAGGTATAGGCAAAGGAGAGAAAGCCAAGCAAATTTGGCCAGTCAGAATGGAAGGTTTTCATTCTGAAATTCATTCTTATATCAAAACTATATGTGTATACATGGATTTTAATGCAAATTCCAAAGTGAGCAAGCAGACCCTCCAGCACCCCACTGCTGTGTCCCCATCTGATCCTGCAGATACATGTCCTAATCCACTCTAACACTGTTACAAGCTACAGATTAACTATTTCATCCCAGCACTCCCAGTCACTGCAGCGTCCCCACAAAATACTGAATAGGGATTAATCATGCGCATGCTTCCCAGCCCATGCATCACTGTTCTTCACACTAAGAAACAATGATTCTTTTAAGAACTGTTCGGTAACACTTTAGAATACTGTTCCATCATTAATGAATAACTACACAATGCAATATTAGCACATCTCCTCAATAATCCACACAATTTGAAGCATCACCGACCGAAGTATGACGCAAAGTATGAACAAGTATGTGACTTGATAATAGTGACACAAGCACCACTAATAACTCTAATTGAGCAGGTTTCATCAGTACTTCTCCCCTCATTTGTAACCGAGCAGAGAAACTGATAGTCCTGCCTTAAACTAATGACGATAGTCAAATCAGAAGTTGACATGTGCTCAAACAGACCATTGCTTTTAATGCACCAAAGAGTTACACTTTTTAGTGATTCATTCAACTCTGATTCATTTTGGTGAAGAATATATAAGGTTTTCTACAAAAATAGTGTACTTCAGCAATTTTCTAGCTTTGCAGTGTGCAAGAGCATTGTGTGTGTGTGTGTGTGTTTAATATGTGAACATGTGCATGAATGTGAATATAGATATGCATCTGTGTTTGTGCATGGGACACGCAGCCGTGTCTGTGTGTGATTAACAGACTACTCACTGGATTAAGAGGCTGATTCTACCACAGTAATCTGGTGTCAGATTAGCAGATTTGACTGATCTGGTAAACTGTCTGTAATGTAGACACACCTCCCACCTGTGTAAAGACATACAGCTTTAAGAAAAGCACAAAATCCACAGCACACCTGAACAAAAGATGTTTTTCAGTCATTTACTGCAGATTAATCCACAAATTCACAGTGTTTGATACATGCAGCTTTTAAAATACAACATTCATTTGATATTTATATGATTGTTTTACTTTGGATTATCAGCCAATTTCATGTTTCTGTCCATCACTTTTCTTTGTACTAAGAGCACAATTTGTGTTAAAAGTGCAAAAAAGTATAAAGAGTATTTGTTAGGAATACACACACACTCTCACACACACACACACACACACACACACACATACACTCACACACACACGCAGGTTTGTTTTTGTGAAAAGTGGGGACATCCCATAGGCGTAATGGTTTTTCTACTGTACAGACCGTATATTCTATTGCCCTACACCAACCCTACCCCTAAACCTACCCCTCACTCA